CCTATCGGTTTTGCAGGGATCAGCTAACCGAACATAGGTCGGCCCCTATCTGTTTTCATACTAAACCTACTTTTCCACAATCTCGTGTCCACTCTAGTACTGATTACCTCTTCCGGAGGTTTAGTCCGATGCTCATATAAGGACTATACAATGGTTATTTAAGGTAACGGGATTAAGGGTCCCTATCAGGGTCCCTCCTAAAGTCCTTAGAAACAGGACTCGCCTGATGTACACTGAGAATCCCAGCCCATGCGTGCACGCGAGCTCGAGGTGTGCGGACGAAGTCGTGAAACGAAACGGGCTATAGTACTTATAGTTGCCCTACTTAAAACCCGACGTATAACTACAGGTGGGGAGTTTAGGGTATACAGAGCTTCTATACGGCTTCTATAAGGTACTATAACGGCAACTACCCACCTGAAAATGTCCAAGATAACTACCCATGAACCTCCAATTAGACCCTAAACCCTAACCCTAAACCCTAAACCCTGAACCACTTATAACTACCCATGAACCTCCAACTAGACCCTAATTCTTCCGGGGGCTACTTCTTGGTCATGAAGCTACTCTGCCCTGACACGTTAGCTTCCCAGTACCCTGGCCCAAAAAAGTTTAAACTTTTCTTGTAGTAGGGTTTAATATACCAAAAAAGTTTAGAGTTTATCTATTGGGGGTGTGGGGGTAGTTAGAAGTAGGGTTATAAGTAGGGTAACTATGATTATAACCCCTATTAGGGGACTTATAAACCCACTTACAACTACCCATGAACCTCCATGTAGGGGATTTCAAAGGTTTAATCTTGGGGGTTATAGTGGGGTTATAGTACCCCAAAAAAGCTGTAAAGGTTGCCTGAGGTTCTTCAAGACCCCTAAACCCTAAACCCTAAATCCTAAAGACAAGTAGCACAGCCAGTACTGGCAGGATGGGTGTCACATACTCCGCATGCCTGCCGCAGTACAGGGCTGAATTGAAGTGCTGAGCAATGAGGCAAATCATAAACTTGGCTTTGAAGTAACCAGGGAGAAAAAGTATAGAACTTTATTTCATAATGGTTCCTTTAAGGAAAAGGTCCCCAAAAAACATATTAAAGTATGGTACTCCAAAGCCCAGTAAATACGGTTTGGGTTTAAAGGTTTGGGTTTTAAGGTCTAGGTTTAGGGTGCAGGAGGCTTAGGGCTTAAAGGGTTTACGGTTAGGGGTGTAGGGTTTAGGGCTGAGAGGCTAAAGCAGCGCTAA